CTCAGGAGCACTTGACCACTGAGCCACATCCTAAGCCCTATTTTGTATTTTATTTAGATACAGGGTCTCACTGAGTTGCTTAGTGCCTTGCTTTTGCTGAGGCTGGCTTTGAACTCGCAATCCTCCTGCCTCAGCCTTCTGAGCCACTGGAATTACAGATATGTGCCACCATGCCTGGCTAATGATCTTAAATATTTAAAAAAAAATTTTTTTAGTTGTTGATGGACACAATGCCATTATTTTATTTTATCCATTTTTATATGGTGCTGAGAATTGAACTCAGTGCCTCACACATGCTAGGCAAGCATCTACCACTGAGTCACAACACCAGCCTTGATCTTGATTTTTAAATAAATCCAAATTAGATCTCATACTGTTTTTTTTTTTTTTTTGGCAGTAGTAGGGCTTGAACCCAAGCGCACTCTTACTGATCAACATCCCCAGTCCTTTTTATTTTTTGTAATATATGTATTTATATATGTATACATATACATATGTATATATATACAAATATATGTATACATATTTAGTTGTATCTGGACATAATGTCTTTATTTATTTTTATGTGGTACTAAGGATTGAACCCAGTGCCTCACACGTGCCAGGCAAGTGCTTTATACTGAGCTCCAACTCCAGCCCTTGATAACAGGGTCTTACTAAATTGCTGAAGCTGGCCTTGAACTTGCAATCCTCCTGCCTCAACATTTCAGGTTTCTGGAATTACACGTGAGTCCCAGAGTTTGGCTTGTCTAAAGCTCTTGATCCTTCTGCCTTAACCTGGCCAATAGCTTGTGTATGTAGATTCTGCCTATCTCCACAATAGAGATTGGACCCTGGTTTTTGTAATGTTACTGAGAAGGTTTAAGGTGGCAGGATAATGATTCTTCACAAATGAATTGCAATCTATTTGTTTTTTTCTATTTTCTGGGAACTTACAAAAGATTGGTGACTGTAAGATAAAAGCAATGTACTTTTTACTTTTCTGTGTGTGTGTGTGTGTGTGTGTGTGTGTGTGTGGAGCTGGGGATTGAACCCAGGGACTTGTGCATGTGAGGCAGGCACTCTACTAACTGAGCTATACCCCAGCACTACTTACACTTCTAACGCTATTTATTTTCCTTTCACCAGCCTACTTGGGGCTTATCAATTTTATTGATGTTTTCCAGGGACTCACTTCACTTTAGTAATTTTTTATGTACCTTCTATTTCACATTATTATTTTTGGTTCTAGGACTGAACCCAGGTATGCTTAACCACTGAGCCACATCCCCAACCCTTTTTGATACAGGGTCTTGCTAAATTGCTTAGGGTCTCACCAAGTTTCTGAGGCTAGCTTTAAAACTCATGATCCTCCTGACTCAGTCTCTTGAGCTGCTGGGACTAAGGCATGCACCACTGCACCTGACTCCTACTTTTTGAATGTTATTCTTTTCCAGTTTTTTGACATGAAGTCAGCTTTAGCCTTTCTTTTTCTGTAATGTGTGACTATGAGGTTATATACTTCAAAAAACACTACTAAATGCTAAATGCTTCAGGTTCTGATAATGTCTTCATTATCAATTTAATTCAAAATACTTTCATTTCCTATGACCTTTTTTTTTTTTCCTTTAACCCACACGTTTAGAATCATAATGCCTAAGTTCTAAAGAGGGACTTTCCAGTTCTTTCTTTTTAGCTTGATCCCACTGCAGTCTGTGGTTTCAGTTCTGAATTTTTTAAAGCTTACTTGATGGTCCAGTTATGATCAATTCTTGTACATGCTTTAGGTTCAATTAAAAAAAAATGCAGGGCTGGGGTTGTGGCTCAGCGGCAGAGCACTTGACTCGCACACATGAGACCTTGGGTTTGATCCTCAGCATCACATAAAAAAAAAAATAGGTGAAATAAAGGTATTGTGTTCAACTACAACTAAAAAATATTTAAAAAAATAAAAGAATATGCATGCTATTGGTTAAGAGTGCAGTGTTTGATGTATGTCAGTTAAACTAGGTTAAGTGTATAACTAAAAATTTCTGCTTGTTATTTCTGCTTTTGAAATAAATGTATCAAAATACTTCTCCAAAAAATTAAATTCCACACTGTATCAGGAGGGCAAAAAAGATCTCATTTCACTCTGATTCCTTCAAATGTTTCCTTTTTTGATTCTGAGGATGGAACCCCAGGGCCTTGGCATAGTAAGTGTGTGTTCTACTGATGAGCTATGCCCTCAGCCCTCCTTCCCTTGCCCCCATACTGGAGATTGAAACCAGGAATACTTTTCCTTTTGAGCTCTTTGAAAATTTTGAGATAGGTGTCACCAAGTTGCCAGGATAACCTTTAACTTGTGATCCTCCTATGTCAATCCCCCAACTAGCTGGAAATACAGGCATGCACACCTTGCCTGGCCATCCATGTTTTTTTTTTTTTTGGTGGGGGGGGCTGGGGGTGGGAGTGAGTTCTAGAGATTGAACCCAGGCAGGGCCTTATGCATGCGAGGCAAGCACTCTTCCAATTGAGTTATATCCTCAGCCCATTGTTTTGTTTTAATATTTATTTTTAGTTGTACACAATATCTTTATTGTTGTTTGTTTTTATGTGGTGCTGTGGATTGAACCAAGGGCCTCGCACGTGCTAGGTGAGTGCTCTACCACGGAGCCACAACCCTAGCCCCCACTTGGGCTTTTTGATAGCAACAAATTTGTATGTCTCCCTTTTCCTAACCTGTGAGCAGCAGGGATAGTGAACAGGGGAATCCTATGGAGACAGTGAGGAAGGCATGCTCTGAAGTTTAAGTGATGCCTCCTCTCCTTTCCCTGTCCCACCACGGTCATAAGCCCTCTAAAGCCCTTGAAAAAAAGCTGGAAACAGGAGCAGAATGCATCCTACCAATAGGCCAAGTATTAGAACAACTTTTTTTTTTTTCCTTTTTGGCTTGAACTCAGACCTATTTTGTGTTTTATTTGGAGAAAGGGTCTCACTGAGATACTTAGTACTTTGCAGTGGCTGAGGCTGTCTTTGAACTTGTGATTCTCCTGTCTGTTTCCTAAACTGCTGGGATTACAGGCATGAGCCACTGTGCCTAGCTAGAACAACTCTTAAAACAGGCTCTAAGCTCTGAACTCCAGAGGAGATAAAAATTGATGTCCATAATAAGTGTTTCAAGCATTACCTCTTCCCTTACAGACATCTGTCACTGGCCTGAAAGCTGGAGGTGAGGTTCTGTGTCTGCAAGAAACACTTTTTCAGGCAAAGGGTACCATCTCAGCTTCTCAGATTTTGTACATCAGCTGTAGTATTCTAGACTCCTTAATAACCTGTCCAAAAAAGAACTATCACTACCACTGCTCTCTTAGCAGTGTATGTGTAGTATATGTGGGCAGACTGAGCGTGTGGCACAACATGAATCACCTGACCAACATGTCTTAGCTATCTATCTCTATGTTGACAGAATTAAATCTCCAGTTAAAAGGAAAAAAATATTTTTATAAAAACAGAAGCACGTTTTATTTCAATCCTGTTGGCGGGGGAGTGAGAGGGATGGAAAACACAAAATAAGGGGAGAGAGTCTCTTTATATAATACATGTAACATTAGGACCAACCACAGGAAGAATACCCATCCCACCCCTCCCCCATTAACTCCTATGTGGGTTCCAAGGCCAGCTGAGAATAGATGGGATAAGAATTAAGACACTATTGGCACAGTAACATGGCCAATGCACCGAAAGATGGACAGAGAATTTCCCAGGGAGCAAGGCCCTTGGACCTCAGCTGCTTCCCCAGTGGAGGGGGAATGAGAAAACTCTGGCTCAGCAGGAAGGCGGTTGTCAAAATCAGGGTTACCCTAGTTGGATTCTTCAGATTGCAGGCTGTGGCTGAAGGGAGTCAAGACATCTATCGATTCCATGCTGTCCTGTGCTTTCTCCAAGACCTCTCCTCTTCAGGCTTGAGACTACCGAGGTGTCCAGGTTCTCTTCCTTTTGGTAGGGAGGGGAATAAGTGCTTATTCTACCCTTCCTACATCTAGGCTACTTAATTACTACTTTCCTGGCTCTAAAAGAGACAGAAGCCAACTAGTAAGACCGGCTCCCTTTGTGAAAGTCGGCTTGAAAGCCCTTGGGTTGGCAAAACTGCCTCTGCAAAGGTTTCTCTAAACTTTCCCCTATAAGACCCTCCCCAAACTTATTCAAAGACATCTTCAATTTTGTGAGATGTGGACAGAAAGACTTGGTCCCTCTCTAGAGTTCAATCAGCAATCCCATCTTTGACTGGAGATGGGGATGAGAGAGAAAGAACAGGGACTAACAAGGGAAAAGCAAGGCAGTTTACACTAAGATATAGATTCAAGCCTGAAAATTGTGAATAGTCATCTAAAGCTCCAAAGGAGGAAGAACAATTCTCCCACACAATATGAACAAGTGAAAAAATATTTTGTGACAACCCTGTAATTCCCAGACCACAAGAAATTGTGTTAAAAGGGAAAAAAAACCAAACCAAAACAAAACAAAAAAACCCCAAGAAACAAACTTGCGAGCAGAGTCTAGCCCTCCATCTTAAATCTGAATAAAATAAACTCATTCAATCAATACTGCTTCAAGTACAATCATGAAGACAGATGAAGCTGTTGAAATTCACACTTAGAGAATGGGATCAGGTGGCTAATCACCTTAATCCCAGGCACCTCCCTTTTAAAAGTCATCTGAGTATATCTTTGAAGACCACAACCCCTTTTCTGCCCCAATACTATACCCTTTCAGGATAGCCAGATGAATTAAGACGTCTGTTTTAAGTTTAATAGGAGGGAAGTGGAAAAAGGAAAAGACTTAAGATTTGGAAAAGCTAGCAGCTAAAGCCAAAAACAAGGTTAAGGTCCTTGTGGCATTCAGGAATGAGAGTAAAAGAATGAGAGAAGGAAGGTATTCAGGCGTTGGGTTCCTGCTGTCCTTTGGCTTTACATCTTACCCCTGCCTCCCATTTCTCCCAACAGCTTGATGCAGCTATAGGCCTGCATCAGAGGGGATGTAATGCCCAGACCAACTTTTTATTAAGCTTATGCAGCTAACAGACTTGTAAACAGTGCCAACTGACAAAGTTTTGCTGAAAATTACAGCTTGTGTCCATTAAACACACCTCTCTCTGAGACTAAAAACAAAAAATCCAAAGTAAACAAAATACTGAGAGAGAGAGAATTAAGAGACACATCTTGAGTCTTCCAGGAAGGCAAGTAAAAAACGCCACATGGCTTGGTCCCAGGCGTTCATCATGCCTAGAGTGCTGCTTTCACCACTGTCTCCCCTCCCTGCCAGTAGCTAGGTAGAGGTGGAAGAGCAGGGTCATCTTGGGCATGCTGCAAATACAGCATTTGCTGGTGTTGACATCCTCCTGGGGCTGTGGTGGCAGACTGCTGTGTTAGGAGCCCATTTCCCGGGAGTAGCAGAGAGCCCAGGTCCTCAAGGCAGCCTGAGATGGCAGCCCGTACACCTCAGGGGGAGTACACTGCCCCTTTTCTCCAGTGCAGTTCAGCATTGAGGTTCTCTATTCCCAGTCGGTGATAAAACCTGAGCTGTTTTCCTCGTAGGTTCCCCTTCCCTTCCCCAACTTAGGGGAGTGGTGGGAGGGGACAAGGGAGGATCACTGAGGGGGCAGGGGGATACCCCGGGGATCGGTGACCTGTCCCTCTTGCAGGTTCTTCACCAGTTGTGCAAGCCAGCGTTTCGTGGTGGTGTCATCTTTTAGCACCTGGGCAAAAGTTGTGTCCTTCAGCTGGTCAGGGAGGCACTGCCTGAGTGCTTCACGTGCCCTACATCAGAAACAAACAAACCAACCAGGAAGACCAACAAATAAACCCACATTTTGGGGCTAGGCAAGAGTTGCTTTCTTAGATATACAGTATTCTGGGAATCTACTGCTCTATCAAGTTATACTAAGAAACCACTTAAATAAGTTCATAGGCTCACAGACCTCTAGAATCTGTAGTCTATAAATATTTTCAGAATGATGCCCCACTGTAGAATTTCATGCAAAAGCAAGAAAAAAAAGATGTAATAACTTACTTCAAACTGCTTTCGGATATTTTTACAGTCAATACTGTCAAAATACTCAGGTTGGAAATTGGTGAGTTACAGTAAATGAAATAATTTCAAAAATCAGTATATTAAATAGCAGATGACCTCACTTATATATGACAAATAATAAATTTTGACTTTGTACTAGCTTTACCAATTTGTATCTTTACAGAAATTGCTTCAATTTTATATTTTAAAATATTGGATACATGACAAAACCAAAAATTATCAGATAAACTTTTAAACATTTCATTTTCTTTGAAATAATGAATAGTAGAAAGTCAAATTTGAAAACATATAAAAGGTAAACGTTAACTACTTTATAGCTAATTTAAATAAAGTTATAGCTATTTTATTCAAGTAGAATATTAAATCAACACATTTTCAAATCACAATGAAAACAGAACCACTGAAGAAAAGGACAAAATGGTCAAAGAGATAGGTAGGGCTGGGCCTGGGGTTGTGGCTCAGTAGAGAGCACTTGCCTACCATGTATGAGGCATTGGGTTCAATACTCGGCACCACATAAAATAAATAAAATAAAATAAAATAAAGGTATTGTGTCCATCTACAAAACAAACAAACAAAAACCCCAAAACAAACGAACAAAAAATAACTCTAGTGGCAGGAGACTAAGTTCACATTAAATCAGTTATCCCTATTTCTAGGAATACAGAAATCACTCCATTATGTGGTTTGGCAGAATCTGAACAAGTAGCTTTCAAAATAAATAATGGATTTATGAAACAAAAGGTCAAACATTTCTAAAATCAATTATATCTACAACGTATGATTTCTGACAGAAAGATTATCAACATAAGGAGATGAAATAATTAGCTCAAAGGACTTTACAGGAACCAGAGAATTAGAAATATAATTTTAGAGTCTTCTGGGTTATGGTCCTTTCTAAGATGATCTTTGGAAGTATACTTCTCTTTCTGACCACTTGGAATAGCAACAGAAAGCTCAAACCACAGGAGTTATGCATTACATAGGGTTTCCCTTGCAATTATCTAGACTCTGGAATTTCAGAGTAGGATAAAGAATTACATTGGGAAGATATACCTATGATGGATTTTTCAAATTTAGCATTTTAGATTTTAAAAGGAATTTTAGATTTTAAAAGGAACTCTATCTAAGACCAACTAAATAAAATTATATCCTTTCCTGTGTTAAAGATTCAGGGATCTATGCCATGAGATGTGGAGTCCAATCAGCAGAATATTTCCCTTAAATATTATAAATCCTGTAAATGTTTACCTGGGATTATCTGAGAGTCGAAGGTAACATCTTACTACATGCTTCAAAAGACGGGCAGAAGGCTCTTTGGATAGCTGCAAGACCATTTTACCCTGTTTTGCCCAAAATAGGGGGAAAGGTAGGAAAAAAAACACAAAACAGAAAATAATTGTAATTGACATTGGAGATGAGATTGTCTAAAAATCATTATAGAGGTTCCAGAATTGCTATTTCTAATTAGAAGACTAAACCTGCTGAATGCCAACTGCAAAGAGACTAAGCTGTGGGATCAGAAGTATTTGCAAAGGGGGATGGGCATTATAGCCCACACCTGTAATCCCAGTTACTTAAGAGGCTGAGGTACTAGAATTTTAAATTTGAGGTCAGCCTCAATTTAGTGAGACCCTATCTCAAAATAAAATGGGCTGGGGATGAAGCTAAGTGGCAGGGCACACCTGGATTTAATCTCTAGTGTGGGGGGGGCCAAGGATAAAAATGAAGTAGGTGAAAAAACTCACCAAGATCATGGCAACATGGGAGAAACGTTCATATGTCTGACATATATAAGCCAAACCAGTGTCATCTAAGAGGATCTTCTGGAGGATGAATGTGGCAACCTGGAGTAAAACAAAAAGAGTTTAAAAAGTTGCTCAGACTTACTAACCAATTGTCCACTCAATTTCCCATCAATCAGTAAATTGCACAAACAGAGACCCCTGTATACCACATACAACTTATTCTACCACATATGCTTAGTACAAAAAGCTAAAAATATTACCATACTGAATATCACTATACATCAGGACTTTTTTCTAAAGGATTTATATGCCCTTATTTTAGCTTCCCAGTAAACTTATGAGGTAGACACTGTTATCTTCCCAATAAATTCTTCCAATAAACCTATGAGGTAGAAACTGTTATTTTCACTTTACATAAAAGGGCAAGTCCTACAGATTTTTAAAAATCCAGGTTATAGAACATCTATTATGTGCCATGCATAAACTACTAATCAAAGTGCCAGGATAAGGTTCCAAGTGACAAAGCTAACAAGTGATAAAGCTCAATCCCCACACCACCAAACAAGAACAAGAACGAACCCAAGACTGATAAAAATGAAAAAAAAAAAAAAAAGGAAAAGCCTCAGTATGTGGATTAAGTGGATGGAAGATCAGCGTTATACGCCTGATAAATTTGGGAGAAGGCTAGGTTCTTATATTTTCTGTGGGTTTGTGGGAGAGAGGTCATATATTCCTTTGAAAATCTGAAGAGTGCAATAAACACAAAACTCAGGATAAAAGCCCATATTCTACAGGTGGCAGAGAATTCTTTTGGGATTTTGAATATAGATTGGCCACAGATATTCAGAGCTTGAAGAACAGGGGTAACTGAGGATACCTGGTTACCATATAATACTTTTAGTAGTTTTCTCGAAATATTCTAATGCTTATCCTTTAAAATTCTGAAACTAAAAACAAACCAGAAAACTCCCAAACCTCAGAATCACTTTCCCAATCAAGTTTTTACCATGTTTTTGATATCATCAAATGAAAAGCTGATGACATATAACATGAATTTGCTTTAATATCTCCTAAGATACATTGTTTCCTTTCTTCTTCTTCCTTTTTTTTTCTTTTTTTTTGGGGGGGGCAGTTCTGGGGATTGAACCCAGGGTATTCAACCACTGGGTTGCATGCCCAGTCCTTTTTTAAATTTTGAGACAGAGTCTTGTGAAATCGCCCAGACTGGCCTCAAACTTGAGATTCCTTTGCCTTTAGCCTCCCAAGTAGCTGGGATTAGAGTTTGTACCACCTTGCCTGGCTTGTTTCCTTACCTCGCTGTTGAAATATAAGAAACACAGTAGGAATACTAAGATATAATTTGATATGATATAAAATATAATATAGGAGAGGATAAATTTGAAGAGAATCACACATACCTTGTTACAAACTTAAGCTAAAACATTCAATTGCAATCTGAATGGTAGTATTTATCTTAAATGGTGATTTCCAAATAACTCAAGAAAATGCGACTCAACACATAAGTAACTTTCCCAAATACCTTATTCCAAAGGGGAGGGCAGAAACAAATGGTAAAAAAGAGAGATTTCTGAATTTGTGCTGTGAGGATAGCATTTAGAATATGTTATTCTAATATTTTTCTAATTAACATATAAAAATATTAATACTTATGTAATTGTTCTTGTTAGCACAGTGGATCAAAGCAGCTTCATAGTGTCTAGGTTCAAATCTCATGTTTCATCATTTCTATGAAATTTTAGGTAAATTAAGTACCCTAAGCCTTTGTTTCTCATCTGTGCTATGGAGGTGACAATCGTGAGAATCTGATGGAATAATGCACATATAGTGGTTAAAATAATTGGCATTGGGCATGATGGTACAAGCCTGTAATCCCAGTGGCTCGGGAGGCTGAGGCAGAAGGATCACAAGTTTACAGCCAGCCTTGGGGCTGGGAATGTGGCTCAAGCGGTAGCGCGCTTGCCTGGCATGTGTGCGGCCCGGGTTCGATCCTCAGCACCACATACAAACAAAGATGTTGTGTCCGCCGATAACTAAAAAATAAATATTAAAAAAAAAAAAAAAAATTCTCTCACTCTAAAAAAACCCCCAAAACAAGTTTACAGCCAGCCTCAGCAACTTGTGAGGCCCTAAGTAACTCAGTGAGACCCCATCTCTAAATAAAATACAAAATGGAGCTGACTAAGTGCTCCTGGATTCACTCCCCAGTACCAAAAAAGGCACATATCAGACACTTAGTAAATGTAACAAATTATGCAATAATTAGTATTTATGAAACAGGAACACCATGCCTAAGAATAACGAGATTACTTACTAATTAACATTTGTGTTGTCTACTCATTTATCACTGGTCTATATTATGTAGATTACCTAATCAAAATATGCAATGTTTTTGGCATTTAAAACATATTTCCCCCTTAATTTCTTACAGCAATTAATCTGCTTAAGACCTTCCTTTAATGTATTTTAAGGTTTCATTATATCTCAGTCTTGTTGGTCTTCAGACAAAATATAACTTACAGAATACTCTGTAATAAAAAAAGTTTGGAAAATGTTTTCTTTCTTCTTTTTTTTAGAATTTTTTATTATTTATTTTTTAGTTTTCGGCAGACACAACATCTTTGTATGTGGTGCTGAGGATCGAACCCAGGCCGCATGCATGCCAGGCGAGCGCGCTACCGCTTGAGCCACATCCCCAGCCCCGAAAATGTTTTCTTAACAGAGATGTTTTGCCTACATTTAAAGAGATGTCACCAAAGTAGAAATGAGTATTTCTGCCATAGTTATAAGAAGTCAACTTGAAAAACCTATTCACAAGGCTGGGGATATAGCTAAGAGGGAGACAGCTTGCCTATCATTCATGAGCCCTGGGTTTCATCCCTAGTACTGCAAAAAGAAAGAGAGAAAAACAAAAACAATACCAAAACCAAATTCTTCACAGGCAAATAATAATAAAAGATGAGCATACAGTTTTATGCATTCTAATCCTGTCCTTGAAATACACTGAAATTAATAAAAATAACTAAAATCAGGGAAGAATTATGAAAAGCATGAAATAAAGGTTCACATGTCACTTGTCTTTTGTGTGTATAAGCAGAAAACTGCGGACAGAGGTATAAATTTCCTTAACACACACACATACACATCACAGAATGGAGGACTTACTGGAAAAGTATTTGGAGCCCGGGGCAGTGGCACATGCCTATGATCCCAGAGGCTCAGGAGGCTAAGGCAGGAGGATTGCGATTTCAAAGCCAGCCTCAGCAATAGCGAGGCACTAAGCAACTCAGTGAGACCCTGTCTCTAAATAAAATACAAAATAGGGCTGGGGATGTGCCCCTGAGTTCATTCCTCAGTACCAAATAAAAAAGTACTTGACTTAAAGTTCATAGAACTTCTCCTTATCTATCACTTAAAATAATAATCCTTGATAGAAATCTCCACATGGAAACTATGGAAACATACCCCCAAAAGAGGTAACAAGTAATAATTATCTATACTTTAGGTCTGATATTGTAATATTCATTCATTTAAAAAAATTTATTATGATTAGAGCAGAAGTTGGATACTGCAAAACAGAGTCAAAACGGAAAAGAAGCCGTGAGAAAAATCAAATGATATGAAATAATATAAAATGTTAGAGGGGGAGGAAAAAGTATGAAAGATAGACAAAGTAACATAACTGATGTTGCTGAAACAAGAGACTAGAACAAATTAAAAAACCATAAAAACAAAAACAAAAGCAGGGATATGCTCGTCTAATAAGAATCTGATACAGATTATTAAAGAATTTAAAAACTAATAAAGAAGCTTATAGATATCCACACAAAAAAAGGCAAGCCAAGCCACCTACAAAAGGAAAACATTAGGATGGCCCAAGACTTGGATACAACATTAATGTCTTAAGACAATAAGGCTAGGACAACAAAATTCTCAGAGGGAAAAATGAGATAAAAGAGGCAGAAAGTGATCCTTGGATCATAAAAGCAGCAGTTCAAGAGCCAAAACAACGTAGACCAGTAAAGGCACATACTGTTTTAGAAAGTTCACTTCCAGATTCCATAATGCGCAAACACAAAGGGATAATTTCTGTTGTCAATAAAAAGTTGATTACTTCTTGCTCATCTGTTTTCACCAAGGCCCCTAAAGAAAATATGACAAACAAAATTATTTTTGAGTCAGGATTTTTAGTTAAATTAATTCTGTACTGCTCATCAAGTTAGTTGTGGAATTTAAATAACTCAGAACACAAACTGAGGTTTCTATGCCAAAGAATCAGATTCACACCTCTATTAAAAAAAAAAAAAGGAAGAAAAGCACAGGTTGATTTTATTAGTCATCACGGAAAGACCAGACACCAAGTTTGGTTCATCCTACAGTTAGCAGTGGTTTAGCCACCTTTTAAATAATATGTTTATCATTCTTGTTAGACGATCTTAGAACAATACCACCAATCTGTCTTCTACTTATTTTAGGTTAGGGAGAATTCTACATCAGTATAAAAGCGTATTTCCAGGTAGCAAAGAAATGGTGTCAATTTGAAACACCACTCACAGGTTATTTAATTGCCTGTTTTCTCAAAGAGCACAAATATTGTAGGACAAAACTAAGGAAATTACAAAAAAAAAAAATTACAGGGCTGGGGTTGTGGCTCAGTGGTAGAGTGCTTGCCTAACGTGTGAGGCACTGGATTTGATCCTTAGCATCACATTAAAAAAATAAAATAAACAAAATAAAGGTACTGTGTCCATCTACAACTAAAAAAAATTTTTTTAAAATTACAAACAAGAAACAAACACACACCTAGATTATAATCCTGTGTCGCCAGTTAGTTTACCAACTTGATAGTTACTTTCCCTTTGTAGATCTATTTCTTTATCAATAAAATGAGATGTCCTAAAATTCATTCCATTCTATTATTCTGTGAGTTTCTAGTCACTGATAAAAATGAATGATAAAGCTGATCAGGCGATGGACATAGCTCAGTGACATCTTTTTCAGTCTATACACAGGGAAGCAGGGCCCCTTAAATGACTTAAGCTGCTCAATGCATCACTAGCTTTTATATAAATACCTGAATCTGTAATAACTAAAATCAATTATCTTGAGAAAGAATGGGGAATGCCAGAACTGGTAATTTATAATGCTACATCTCTAAACTCCACATCAACCAGCATGAATAATTTTCTAATGTGGCCTAATGTAGATTTAAAATGTAGACCTATGATCCATACTGAATTAATTTTTTAAAAATATTTTAGTTGGGGGCTGGGGATGTGGCTCAAGCAGTAATACACTCGCCTGACATGCACGGGGCACTGGGTTCGATCCTCAGCACCATATAAAAATAAAGATGTTGTGTCCACTGAAAAAAACTAAAAAATAAATATTAAAAAAAAAAATTCTCTCTCTTTGGAAAAAAAAAATATTTTAGTTGGGGCTGGGGTTGTGGCTCAGAGGTAGAGCGCTCACCTAGCATGCGTGAGGCCCTGGGTTCGATCCTCAGCACCACATAAAAATGAAATAAAGGTGTTGTGTTTACTTACAACTAAAATAAATAAATAAATATTAAAAAATATTTTAGCTGTACATGGACACAATATCTTTATTTATTTATTTTTATGTGGTGCTGAGGATCGAACCCAGCGCCTTTCGCATTCAAGGCATGTGCTCTACCACGGAGCTACAACCCCAGCCCTGAATTAATTTAGAATATAGGTATGGATCGTGATTCACTGTTCTACACATTAATATTCAATTTTTTATAGTATTATTTGTTGAAAAGACAATCTTTTTCTCCACTAAATTGTCTCTGCACTTTTATCAAACACCAACTGACCATGTATGTATGTCTGGACTCTCCATTCTGCTGCAATAATTTACAAGTTAATTTTATCCAATACCACAATGTTTTGACTACTGTAGTTTTCCAGTAGATCTGGATCAGGTAGTATACATCTTCCAACTTTGCTCTTCTTTTAAAAAGTGTTTGAATTTTTTAGTTCCTCTGTCTTTCCGTGTAAATTTTATTTATTTTTTGTAGTACTGTGGATTGAACCTAAAGTCTCAAGGCTTACAAGGCAAACACTCTAACACTAAACCCTCCAACCCACTATCTTTATGAATTTTAAGATCAGTGCATTGGGTCAGGCTGCCATAGACTGCTGACTTACATAACTGAAGAAAACCTGAAATTTATTTTCTTACAGTTCTGGAAGCTGGAAGCCTGATATCACAATGCCAACAAGGAAGGGTTCTGGTAAGGGCTCTCTTCTTGACTTGAAGATGTATACCCTCTTGCTGTGCCCTCATGTGGCAAGGACAGAAAGAAAGCAAGATCGTTCATTGTCTATATATTTATAATACTAATCTCATCATGAGGGTCCTGTCCTCATCTTAATTTAATCGCGTCCCAAAAGGCTCATTTCTAAATTCCATGACATTAGGGGATAAGGTTTCAACATATGAAAATCTGAGAATAGAAAATCTATCTACAGAAATGATTGTATGATTTTTTTTCTTCTCTCTTCTGTTGACAGGTCATATTGGTTGATATTCGAAAAGTTGAACCAAATTTATATTCATAATGATCTTTTTTATTTATTGCTGAGTTTGTTAGTATTTTATTGAAGATTTCTACACCAGTGTTCATGAGGGATACTAGCCTGTGATTTGCTTTTCTTGTAAAGTCTCTGCTTTTATGGTCAGTGTAATGCAGGCCTCACAAAAGTTGAAAGGTTTCCCCTTCCTTCTATGTTGTGGAAATGTGCAGAACTGGTTTATTTCTTCTTTCAATTTCTGGTATAGGACACTAATAAAACCATCAGAGCCTACAGTGTTCTAAGTTAAAAAGTTTTTAACTAGAAAAGCAATTTAATAGATACAAGACTACTCAAGTTATCTATTATTTCTTTTACATATACATGACAGTACAGTGTTTTTTGACATATTATACATACATGGAGTATAACTTCCCATTCTTGTGGTTGTACACCATATGGAGTTACACTGGTTATGTATTCATACACGAACATAGGAAAGTTATGTACAATTCATTCCACTGTCTTTCCTATTCTCATCCTCCCTCCCTTCCCTTCATTCCCCTTGGTCTAATCCATTAAACTTCTATTCTTACCCCCCCCCCCTCCCCCCCCCCCCCCCCCCCCCTTTCTCCCATCCTAATCTCTTTTCTCCCCCCCCCCCCCCCCCCCCGCCTTATTGTGTGTGTTAGCATCTACATATCAGAGAGAACATTTGGTCTTTGGTTTTTTGAGATTGGCTTATTTCAATTTAGAATTGGCAATTTAAAAATGCTACATCTCTCAACTCCATGACAGTCTCCCGTTCCATCTGTTTACCAGTAAATGCCATAATTTTATTCTTCTTTATAGCTGAATAATATTCCATTGTGTACACATACCACATTTTCTTTATTCATTCATCTGCTGTAGGGCACCTAGGTTGGTTCCATACCTTAGCTCTTGTGAACTGAGCTGCTATAAACATTGACGTAGTATCTTATTTCTTGAGTGCAATCTGACAAATAGTGTCTCTTAAAGAATTTTACTATTTCATCTAAGTTGTTAATTTTTAAGCAGAGCTGTTAATATTCCTTTAATATCCTTTTAAAGTCTGAATAGTCAAGTGATGTACCCTCATTCATTCATATTTGTAATCTGTACTGACTTTTCCCCCAATGAATCAACTTTTGGTTTCACTCATTTCTTTTTTGTGGTTCTTGGAAGAGCCTCGCGTACGCTAGACAAGTGCTCTATCACTATGCTACATTCCCAGTCTGGTTTCAATGATTTTTACCTCTTGTTTTTCTGTTCTCATTTTTCATTAACTGTCAGTCTTTACCATTACCTTTTTTTTTTGTTTGATTTAGTTTGCTTATTTTGGTAGTTTCTTTTATATATACATATATATAAAAAATACATATATATTTTATTAGAGATGGCCTCACTGAGTTGTTTAAGGTCTATGTTGCTAAAGCTGGCTTAGAACTTTATTATCTCCTCATTCTTAACCTTTATCCTAATATCTCATAAATTTACCACCCCACTGTAATGTTCAATAAAACCAGCAGAAGTAAGATGAGTTAAGAAAGAATTAAGGATCTAAGTATTTTATTTTGGCTGGAATTATACTGATGCCCTACATGAAAAATTCTGGTAGCTTAAAAGCAGAAAAGAATATTATTGGGAAAAATTTCTAATTAGAGTACCAACTGGGAGATGTAAAAACCAGAAACATTCATTTGAAGCATATAAGGTAATGGTTGGGCTGGGGCTGTAGCTCAGTGGCAGAGTGCTTGCCTTGCACATATGAGGCACTGAGTTCGATCCTTAGCACCACATAAAAAAAAAAAACAAATAAAATAAAAACATGCTGTCCATCAATTAAAAAAAAAAGGTAATGGTTACTCCTTAGAAGAATAAAATGTACTTGAGACATACATCTTGGAAATACCAACTTTTAAAATCATTTCCTGATTTATGGTCTATAATTATAGGGACACAAACACAGGTTGAGCATTAAAACAATACATTACCCAAGTCTGTGTAATTAGTATTCTTTTTTTTTTTTTGGTTAGTACAAAAGCAAAACTTAAAAGACACTAAGAAAGAAAGGGTGATTTGGAAAATAAATCTTGTTGAATGTATTATATTCCATAATACAGTAGATATTCCAAAGATAGGTCCTTACTACCTAGGAGTCTGAGGTCTGAAATAGTTGTTATGTTATATTCTTGAGCAATAAGTATTTCACCTATATCCCCCACAGTAATTATACATAAAAACACTAACTGAAGCATGAAAAAAATAATTAGGTAAAGTAGTAGAAAGTAAACCCCTCAACTTATGAGAGAAGAGCTTATAAGTGGAAAAAAACCCCAAAACATTAAAAGAAGGTAAGTCCAGAATTACTTTTATTCCTGTAATAATATTCTGTTGAATCAAATTATTATTCTTTACTCTCCCTTGCCAGCAAATGTTTCTACATACATACTGAACTGAATTCTAAATATTAGTCCTCAAAGTCTTACAACATATAGTATGGTGCTTGACAATCATTTACCATGTTCCCATAACTCAGTTATTAACGAATGGGATAAATTCAAAGACAAAAAGAATAAGCCATAAGAAGCAAGACAAAATATTTCAACTTAGACCACTTCAGAATGAGGATTTCAGGCTTACAAAACAATCCTAACAACTTACCAATAACTCCAAGGCTAGTAAGCCGAAGATACTCAAAGGGACGTGTTTTGCTGACAGTGTGCAAAAAGGGGTACAAAAAAAGTGGGATGTGTGCTGCAAGAAAAGCTGACCTGGAAGAAAAAAAAAATCACATTCAGAGCTTGAAGATGATTTCTAAGTATTTTTTTTAATATTTATTTTTTAGTTGTAGTTGGACAAAATATCCCCATTTTATTTATGTATTTCTATGTGGTGCTGAGGATCGAATCCAGGGTCTCACCCGTGCTAGGCAAGGCTCTACCACCCACCACAACCCCAGCTTGATTTCTAAGTATTTTGAACATTCAAATCCAAGCAGTTAATTCTGTAAGGCCTATAACAATCCTCAGAAAGGAAATTTATGGGTCATTAGTTTCAACGAATGGTTCTCAAATAGGGTGCTTTAGCTCCTACCGAATGTTTAACAATGTCTGGATTCATTTTGGTTGCCAGAATTAAGGGATGTTGAAGGTACTGGCATTCAATTGATAGAGGCCAAAGATGCAACTAAACATCCTACAATGCATATGACAGTCCTCTCTTGCTTTTCTTTTCCCACTATCAAGACTTATCCAATTCAAAATGTCAATGGTGCCTCCACTGAACAATACTAGTACAGGCCAGGGTGGATAAGGGAACACATTTCTCTGTAATCAGCACCATGTACCTTAAAGACTGTTTAACTTAAAATAGCCAACTGTGAATTTAAAAAACATATCACTAGGGGCTGGGGTTGTGGTTCAGTGGTAGAGCGCTTGCCTTGCATGTGTGAGGCACTGGGTTTGATCCTTAGCACCACATAAAAATAAATAAAGGTACTGTGTTCATACAACTAAAAAACCAAAAAACAAAAAACCCCCAGATCACTAAATGCTATTAAGTGCCCAGGAGATTCTCCTAGGTTACCTCCTCACCTAATTTAGGACTGAATAGATAAAACTTATAAACCAAGATGACAAGATAAAGTAGTCATCATGAGGTTTATATGCTATGTTTAAATGCAGTTTTCTTTTTTGTTAGGGCATTTCAAATATACTAAGCATTCTTAAAACCAGTCTATTACTTTGTATTATTTATTTTTATACCTGTAGCAGAATCAACACCCAAGATTTTTAACAAATTACTCTTGGATTTTTGTTAAGTGCTTAAAAATAATTTTCTTCTTAATTTTCTAAATCTCTGAAAGGTTACAGTGCCACAAAACACTCAGATGTCATAAGAAAACTGGACAAAGAGAAAAAAGGCTTTAACAAGTGTTTCAGGGACCATGAGAGCCACAAAACAGATTGCTGAACAGGCTATTTCCCTTTTCCTAATTTTCCAGATATGCAAAAATGGTAAAAAAGTTAACTTTCAAGCCAATTCCTAGAATCCTATGTTGAGAAGGATTTTGAAGTCAAATAAGGGTTTAGTGGGGAAAAATGCTTAAATAATATTTACGAATTACTATTACATATTATGTATAGCATAGTCGTCTATGATAGATTTGGGATGGAGAAGCAGCTGTATCACCTTTCCTGTGGTATGAATATTGCTCTTTTAAAGTTCATAGTCATGAATGGGAAAAATAAGAGTCCTGAAGATACAAAAAAAACCACATTACACATCCCTTCTGTTTTCACTCAGCAACAGTTTAGAATTGTTTTCAATATAAACCTCCCCCTACCAACTCACTCAAAGCATTTACCTGGTTTCTGGGTGTGATGCCACACACTGCAGTAATGCCAGAGCATTGCAAACTCTGTTAGATTGGTGTGCTGTCAACGTGGGTGGATTAATAGATGGATAAATATTTACAATTTCCTAAAAAATGGAAATCAGCACCAGATGAACGAGGAGTAACTAATTATAAAATTAATTCATATTAAAGTACTACTAATTAATATTAATTCATATTAAAGTAAAGCAAAAACAAAAACAAAAAAGCCTTTGAACTACATGTATCCTACAAAAACTGAAGTATCAAAGAAGGAGTAGAAATAAACAATGCTCTTATCCTTTGATCACAAACATATCTGACTAATTACCTAAGGCATTTCTACATGTGTCTCTAGGAGGATTCTACAGAAACAACTGTAGTCATCTACATTTTTTCTTTCTGCAGCTACTGAGTCTGTCACCTGAGGGACCCTTATATTTTTATAATTTCTCTTTTTGTCATCCTGCTTTAAGTTATAATGATGTAACACCGGCCAGAAATTATTAGTAATTCAACCAAAGTGACTCACAAAGAAGTTTATTTTGGTTAGGTAGCAACTTCAAAAGAGGAGCAGAAGGACATACTTAGCCAGTTGAGTGAGGATATGTATAAATAGCAGTGAATATGATAGGTACTCAATCAAAAAGTGATAATTTGCTGAATACAATTCCATTTATTTTAATTGTAAAACCTCTATGCAAAATGTTCTTATAAGAGGCTGTGGTTGTAGCTTGGTGACAGAATGCTTGCCTAGCATGTGTGAGGCACTGGGTTCAACACTCAGCACCATATAAAATTCATAAGTAATGTAAAAGTATTGTGTCCATCTACTACTATGAAAAAAAAAGTTCTGGGCTGGGGATATAGCTCAGTTGGTACAGTGCTTGCCTCGCATGCACAAGGCTCTGATCCCCCAGCACAAAAAACAAAAACAACAAAACAAACAAACAAAAAAACCTCCATCTGTTTAAAATATTCAAAGTCCTTTAAGCAAAGGCACAGAAAAATTCAAGTGCAATGAATCTGACTGAACTGTCACTCAGAAATATATACTCACCTGTAAAAGTGCTGCAATAGTACCAAATGAATGCCACAGCATGGGTGCAAGGTCAGGAACAGATTCTCGCTTCTTACTTAGCTCTAGCAAAGCATTTTCCCTTGTCTCAGGACTGGACAGCTCGTTGATCCACTGATAGATCTTTTCCCTATCTACTTGAGCTAGTGCAGTAGGCACAGGCTTCAGGGGAAAAAGAAGAAAAAAGAAAAAGAAAATGTGAGTTAATTAGAATCGAACAAAATCTTACCCGTAACAGTGCTTTAGAGGAAATGTATTTTTCATAAACATCAGGGGAGCTTTTCTTAATATATACTCTTCATGTAAACTAGTTCAACCTATTTGTCAGTTATCAATGCTCACATGCATTAATAATTCCATGTTTAGGAATTTATCCCAAGTTTACTTGGGCTTACTGAATATACACCAGGATGTTTACTGTTGTGCTTTTTAAAAGCAGAAACTGACAACGATTTATCAATAAGGGACTAGTTAAATAAGTATTGGTGCATGTCTATAATGAATACTATGAAGTTTAGTAAAGACAGTTCTATATATACTAATAGTAAAAAAAAAAAAAAAAAGAAAGGGGGAACAGAATAACCTGTGTAACATGCTTCCACTAATATATACAAACATATTCTTATATTTACATACCACATTTCTAGGACACGTTAACAATAGTTATTTCCAAGGCTAGAGATTTACATAGGAGCTTTAAGTTTCACTATATATAATAAAAGCTTCCACATAAACATTTGTTCAAACCATTAATTACTGAGAGGGAAAAAATTATACTCTTCCCATCCATTACTGATTCCTTCTTATTAATTTTGACAACCTTTTCCATGGACCAGAAAACCCACAACATGGAAAAGTTCTTTCTCCTGATTTTTTTTTTTTAAATGGTGCTAGGGATTGAACCCAGGGCCTTGTGCATGACAGGCAAGCACTCTTCCACTGAGCCACATTCCCGATCCCTCCAAATGATTCTTTTTTTTTTTAATGCCTTTGTTTCATTTTTAAGTGGTGCTAAAGATCAAACCCAGTGCCTCACACATAAGGCAAGTGCTCTGAGCTACTGCTCCAGCCCCAAATGATTCTTACATATACACTGCATGTCCATCCCTTTCAAAGCATCCATTATTACTAACATAAGAACTAAGCAAAATTTTAAAACATGCTTTCACTGCTTTGCTGAAGAATTGCAACATTCCTCCTAAATTTGAGCATTTCTACAATTCTCCACATTTGCCAAATAGCCTTGTAACCTTAAGATCCTTAATTATTCTCATCTTGAAAATGAGATGACAGACTAAAAAAATTATTACAATTGCTGTTTCTAAACTTATAAACTTCTACAAATTCATGGTGATTTCTATCACCTATACCCAATAGTTTTTCATGGAGTATTTACCAAATCATGAGGAAATAAAAGGGTGGATGGGTAGATAAAAAGGTGAGCTACACTCGCAGATGAAATAATTAACACTCAGAAAAGCTGACTTGCTCAATTCATACAAGTATAAAGCTGTATATGCAGATGCTTTCTTGAAGTGTATTACACAGCTTCTCATAATATTAACAAGTTCCCAATACATTTTGGTGTGATGGAATGAAGACCTATCCACTGCATAGATAGAAAGACAACAGAAAGAATTGCTTTTGTTGAAGATTAGGATGAAGTATAAGATGGACTTTGAGGTGGACTCAAATTTCCTCTATCTAATCTGAATGATGGCCTTCTATAAATGGAAGCTTGATTAGAAGCTTTTATCTTGGTACTTATTTCACTTGCCTAATAGAATGCACCACAAGTTGGCAAAACGGACTGAATTATCATGCAGCTTACAACTTCTATTACAGTAAACTGCTAAAAGCTGCTTTGCAATTCTGACTGGTGATGCTCCTAAATGAATCAAAGGCTCCTAGGGCAACAAGAAGATTGAAAGAACATTCCTCCAGAAAAAGCAGTATTGTTCAAGTACTTACCCTTTCCATGTTGCTGCAGACAGGTTCTAACTCAAAAACTATAGTATTTGTTATTCCTACCAGAAGAAAGGGTATGTGTTTATTTATTTAGAGTTTTCCATCACCTTAAAAGATGAATGGAAACACGGGCTAAATTTTACTTTTTGGCACTTTTAAATTGTAGTTGGACACAATAACTTTATTTATTTTTATGTGGTGTTGAGGATCGAACCTAGCACCTTGTACATGCTAGGCAAGTGCCTGATTGCTGAACCACAACCCTAACCCATCTACTTTTTATTTTGAGACAGGGCATAGCTACATTGCTTAGAGCTTGCTAAATTGCTTGGACTGAACTCAAATTTGCATTCCTCCTGTCTCATCCTCCCAAGTTGCTGGGATTACAGGCTTGCACCACTGCCCCTGGTTTTCATTAGATCATGATAATAAAATGCAAAATGTATCTTATTTTCTGAATCCCAAGGACTATTTAGGCATACCTTTCACAAAAACAGAAGATCTAAAAATTAAACTCTTCCTAAAAGGGGATGAGGAGTGAAACAAGGGGTAGAATGGGTGAGGAAGAAGAGAAAACTGTGTATATTTTTAAAGGCAGTTTTATTTAAGGTTTACAACAAAGGTATTTATTATCCTCATTTTACAACCAGCGAAACAGTGGGCAGATTTCCTCCTCATCCCATTCTAAAGATCACCAAGCCAGGTGTAGTAGCATGCACTTGTAGTCTCAGCTACTTAGGAGGCTAAGGCAAGAGGATCAGGTAAGCCTGATTTCAAGTCACCTTGGGTAACACAGTGAGACCCTGTCTCAAACTCTCTAAAGATTTCTAGTTCAGATGATATAGGCCTATTTTAATCTGCTAACACATTTCTGAAGCTGTGGTTGATATGGAACTCAATGTAGTAGCACACACTGCCCAGTGGTAGATTCCCTAATAGAGATTACCTAACTTAAAAACATTATCAATAATAGCAGGGTACTGACCACAAGAAGAGAGGTTAACATTTCTTTGAGGCCAGACCCTACAAGAATCAAATGAAGGGGCTGGGGTTGTGGCTCAGCAGTATAGCGCTCGCCTAGCGTGTTCGAGGCCCTGGGTACGATCCTCAGCACCACATAAAATAAATAAAATAAAGGTATTGTGTTCAACTACAACTAAAAAAAAAAGCATCAAATGAAAATATGGGGGCTGGGGATGTGGCTCAGCGTAGCAAGCTGGCCTGGCATGCGTGAGGCCGGGGTTCGATCCCCAGCACTACATACAAACAAAAGATGTTGTGTCCGCCGAAAACTGAAAAATAAATATTAAAATTAAAAAAAAAAAAAAAAGAAAATATGGGTCTTTTCCTCAGAAAAACACACAATACAGAAATGTAAAAACCTACACATAATTTTAGGTAATTCATGGACTTCTTGCAGAATCAAATACAAAAATGTTTATCAAATTAAAAAAAAAAAACAGAAAAGACCTCAATTTGCAAATAACTATATAAGTGCATAAATGGAATGAATGCACACTAAATTGCAAGCCCGCATGGCTTTAAAACCCAGATTAGGGGCTGGGGATGTGGCTCAAGCGGTAACGTGATCGCCTGGCATGCGTGCAGCCCGGGTTCAATCCTCAGCACCACATACAAAAGAACATGTTGTATCTGCTGAAAACTAAAAGTAATTAAATAAATATTTAAAAAATTCTCTCTCTCTAAAAAAAAAAAAAAAAAAATTAAAAAAAAAAAAAATAAAACCCAGATTAGCCATTTCTAGAATTCTGCAACCTAGGATAAGTCATTAACTTTTCAAGTCTCAATTTTATTAAAGTGCAGGAACTGGCTTTAGTCATTTCTACCTTAGAAATTATTTCATTCAGTTCTGAGACATCAGTTTTATTGAGGTATAATTTGCATACAAAGCATGCCAGTTTAAGTGTATGTGTAATGAATTTTGACAAATTTATACATCTAGTAACCACCACAATTAAGATGTAGATCACTTCCATTATCCCAGAAAGTTCTTTAATGTCCTTTTCAGTAAGCCCTACAACCAGTCCTAGGTACCCATGAATATTTTCTGCTGATCAGGGTTGCCTTTGCCAGGTTTGGTGGCACACGCCTGTAATCCCAGTAGCTTGGGAGGCTGAGGCAAGAGGATTGTGAGTTCAAAGCCAGCCTCAGCAACTCAGCACGACCCTGTCTCTAAATAAAATATAAAAAGAATCTATAGAACTTCAAGTTTAGTATTCTGACATAGTTCACTAATTTGGATTTAAGATAAACAGTTCAATTACATACTTAGACACAAAATTATTTGAGAATTATGATTTAGAACGTGTTTTACCGGGGCTGGGGTTGTGGCTCAATGGTAGAGCGCTCGCCTCACATGTGCGGGGACCCTGGGTTCAATCCTCAGCACCACATAAAAATAAATGATATTGTGTCCAACTACAACTAAAAGGGCTGATGTACATTACTGTATTTTAATTATAACCTGCTAAAGTCAATAGTCCTTTCAACAGTTGTGTTTAAAAATATATTATCGAGCTGGGGCTGGGGCTCAGTGCTAGTGCACTTGCCTGGCATATGTGAGGCACTGTGTTCGATTCTCAGCACCACATAAATATAAATAAATAAAATAAAAGTCTATCAAAAACTAAAAAAAAAAAAAAACCAAAACCTAAAAAAAAAACTAAAAAAGAAAAAATATTATCAAACTTATTAGGGAACTGTTCTTTTTCTGTGGTCCTCAGGACTGAAATAGGGCTTCATACAGGCTAGGCAAGAGCTCTACCACTCAGCTACATCCACAGTCCTTTTTCAAGTGTTTATTTTATTCTGAGATAGGGTTTTGCTAAGTTGACCAGAATGGCCTTGAACATGCGATGATCTTGTCTCAGGTTCCTGAGTTTGCTGGGATTATAGGTATGTGCCACCATGGCAGGCATGTTTCCCCATTTTTGTTTAATGGTTTGTATGTAGAAAATGTATTTTGAGTAACACTTTTATTTTTCTTTCCACAAAGCTCAGTGAAAGGAAAGTGACCACAACACTCAGAGCAACCAAAAGATCTTTATTGCAGCAGTGCAACAAAGAGAAAGGAAAGAAGGAAAGAGAGAGAGAGAGAGAGAGAGAGAGAGAGAGAGAGAGAGGGGAAGCGCACACAGGAGAGAGACAGAGAAAGCAAGAGAGATAGCAAGAGAGAAAGAGCAAGAGAGAGGGGGCCTGGCAGGAGGGAGTTTTTATAGCCTAAATCTAATAGGGCCTCTGGGTCTACAAGCTGCCTTGTTGGCCCAAGTGGGGGTTAAGTGTTCAGCCTTAAGCAGGGTTGAATGTTCAGACTTGAGGCAAACAGGTGATAAAGGACCAGATAGAGGGGGGTTTGAGTGCGTGGGCTATCTTGCAGCCAACATCTGTTCAGCCTGCCCTGCAGACAACACAGTTCAGCCTGCTCTGCACCCAACACTCAGCACAGGCAAGACATTTACGAAAGTGGGACATCAATGGTTAATTACAAGTATCACAAACACGATGATACGGACAGTTAGTCTTCTATCTATGAAATATCCTAACATTTAATATGAAAAGTAGAAAGATATTTAGAAGTTATTTTAAATAAAACACACTCATATTTATTGATAACATTCCCTTTGAGTAAATTAAAAAATTGATGTTGATGACTTTCTTAAACAGAAAATAGCCAAATTATCAATATCACTTTATGTTTTAAGGGCCATAGTTCTTTATTTTCCTACCAATGAAAACGGACATTAAGGCTGAGGTTGTAGCTCACTGGTAGAATGCTTGCCTAGCAAACAGTTCAATTCTCAGAAACATAAATAAATAAAGGTCCAAGTCAGACGAGGTGGTATATGCCTATAATCCCAGTGGCTCAGGAGGCTGAGGCAGGAGAATCACGAGTTCAAAGCCAGTTCAGCAACTTAGTGAGGCACTTAGCAACTCAGCAAGACCCTGTCACTAATAAAAAAAAAAAAAAAAAAAGAAAGAAAATGTCACAGTAAATAAAATATAGGATTAGTTTGAAATGAAAATTATTATCTTAAGTCTGTGACTCAACATGTGGTTTTGCACGTCAACATAATAATGATACTATTATATAATATACTTTCTAGGGTTAGGGATGTAGTTCAGTGATAGAATGCTTACTTGCATGCATGACGCTCTGGGTTCCATCCCCAGCATCACAAACCAAACTACACCAAACTGAAACCTAAAAATCTTATCCTCATTAACTTAAGAGCTAAATGTTTTTGTTTTTTTTTCCCCCAAGATAACTTTAAAAAATGGAAGTGAATAAAGTTAAGAAAAGTTCAGCAACTTGCTTAGAGCTTCAGTAGGAGACTTGGGAGAAAACAATGAATTAGATACTGTAGAGTGCATAGTTCTACTTGTCAATGAGGAGGGCATCTGGAAGTCAATCACAGCTTCAACACAAAGATATAAAACAACTAATGATGCTGCTGGTTAGTTGGACAGCGAGAGAAACACAAAAGTTGACAGATGCTAAAACTGCCAACAGAAATCAGTGAAAAGAATTTTAAAAATGCATATCTAATGCATCACATAAAGGTTTACATTTGTCTATTTTACTAGCATAACTAAAGACCTCTGTTACAGAAGACCTATGGCACAAGAAGATCAGTAGTTCTATTAATCTGAAGCAACACAGTAGTACGTTACTTTATCAAGAAAAGAATCAAGAGTCATTTAACCAGTAAGCGAACCTAGCCAAGCGGAGAGCAATTTGTTATTCTTATTAATTTTTAGACTAATTCTGTGTAGTACTTCTGTTCCCATTTAATAGAGAGAAAATTGACTTGAGCACACTCCTCTGAAGGCCATTTCCACTTGGATTTTAAAAGGATGTTACAGTTTCTGGCGACAGCAATGAAATTGATGTCATAATGACAAGAACTAACTAAACTATAAATTTTTAGTACAGTAAAATACTACTGAAGATAAAATTTAAGATATTTTTTCAAGTATCTCTAAATCACTTATTCTCCCACTAATGAAGAACATCCTACATTCACATGTGATTACATTCTTCTTTGATAGTACTTTCTGTCTCCCTTCCTACAGGGATGATTTTCCTGCTGTTTAGTTTAGCCTACTGTAGGTGCGGTTGCATGTATTAACTCTTCTTAATTTCTAGTGAATGATACATCATTACTGGTCTTTTACTCAGAACAGAAGAATACAAAGGAAAGAAATGAGGGATTGAGAAGGAGGTGGCTCAACTTTTTGTTTCAGTTTCATCACTAATTAAATATCCTTGTATGAGTGGTGCAAACAGCATAACAAGTGCAAATGCAAGAAAAATTCAAATATTTAAGCTAACGTGAAGAACTGTAAAATAATTAAGAAACACGTACTGAATATTTAAGTAATGTACTACAGTTTTAATGGCTGTTCAAAAGATGCATTAAGACGGGCGGGGTGGTGCACTCCAGTAATCCCAGAGCCTCCAGAGGCTGAGAGAAGAGGATCCAGAGTTCAAAGCCAGCCTTGGCAAAAGTGAGGTGTTAAGCAACTCAGTGAGACCATCTCTAAATAAAAATACAAGATAGGGCTAGGGATGTGGCTCAGTGGTTGAGTGCCCCAGTTCTTAAAAAAAAAAAAAAAAAGATGCATTAGGGTGCAACTGAAAATAGAGTCTGGGGAGGTATAGGGAAGAGGGAAAAGGAATCAGTTAGATTCACATGCTGAATGTGTCTCTCTCTAAGTGGGGAGAGGTAGGAAGGGCATTCCACACATAGAGGCCAGAATCAAAGGTATTGATATCAAAGGTACAAATCGTGCAGAGGACACAGTCAGATTTTGACAGCCAACCTTGGAAGGATTTCCTTTATTCAGCCTCTTCCTTACAAGCAGGAACCACACTTCCCAACTTCCTTCTTCTCAAATTATAGGTACAATTTCAAATAACAAAAGAGGTAAAGAAATTAGACTTACTTAATTGAGAGCTACAAAAGATACTTCTCCACTTTGAATAGTTACAAACACCTAGAAACACGGTGAGAGGAGGCCCAGATATCACTGGTTCTGGAAATGCCAAGACAACAGAGATCAAATTTCAAGAACAATGTTTTCTATAGCTTAGTTATAATCAGCTGAATTTTTCATTTTATCTTTAAAATTAAGGCAGTTTTTGTGTTCTATTTTGTGTTTGTCGTTTTTCCTCATAATGCAACTTTAGTATATGACTCTCCTTAAATCACTTGCCCTCGGTGAAATCAAAGTGGAAATGGCCTTCAGAGGAGTGCGCGCAAATCAAACGATCCCTTTTCCCCTTTATGGTTATGAACTCCCAGTGGTCAGTTTCCTCATCCGCAGTCTTTCAATCGGCAAATTGAGTCTTTACTTTGTACCAGGAATTGTCCTGGCATTGAGGAAAAGAAGTTATCAGGATTCACACTATCCCTGTCCCTGCCCTTAGTCCTTATCTGCACTCAACAGGGAGACAGACTTCAAACAAGTCAACAAATCCAATAATTACACATTGGGATGAGTGCTGTAAAGACTGCTCTGACAGAAAAGTCACGAGTACTTTCTATCACTGCAGCACATTTAGGTGGAGACACGCGAGAAAAGGAACCAGTTAGATTCATATGCTTTATGTGTTTGTAAGCTTGGAGAGGTAGAAAGGAAATTCCAAGCATAGAGACCAGAAGGTGCATTAAACAAAGCGGTAAATGTGTGTAAGGACCACATTACATCGGGCCTTTCAGGCCATGCGGAGAAGTCCAGATTTACCTAAGTGAAATAGGAAGCCCAGAGTTGTTTCAGACAGGTGAATTACACTATCCGTATTTCTTGTTTAAAGATCACTTTGGTCGAACGAGTTGTGCGAGAAAGGTTTTCAATGCAGAGAACCACAAGTCAGATGCAATAATTATGCATTTCTACGGGCCTCTATGCAAAACGACTGATTAGAACCAGAGGCCATTTCCTTCCCGCTGCGATGTGCCTAGGCGGTGAGTCTGAAGCGCAGCAGACGAGTCGGTCTGATCATGGAATTTCCCTCATCCTTGCCAGCGCCCAGCACACGACTGGTGCCCTGAAACTGTCGGCCACCGCAATGAATCAATGAATGGCCGGCCGGGGCTGCACAGAGGGCGCTGCCGGCGTAGGACCAGGCCCCGCCGACTAAAAAAAAGAACACGAAGTACCGCGCGGGAGGCCGCGAGAGGCGTCCGGCGAGAAAAGTGGGGGCAGGCTCCAACACCGTCCCGGAGAGGTGTTGAGGGGGCCGGGGACTCGCGGGCGGGGACAGAAGCGGCTAGACTCGGGCCCGACGCAGGGAACTAGGGGAGGCCGAACGGCGGGGCTGAGGAAGGTGTGGGCCCAGCCACTCACCGCTGCTGTTGCCAGGCTGTGCATGTTGGGAGCAGCCGCTGCTCTCCTTCTTTCGTTGGACGCGCCCGACCCGCGTCCCAGCTTCAGCGCCTCCGCCGCCAAGGAAGACGAGCCGCCATTCGCCTCCACTCGCTCCGCCCCCTTCGTTGCCTTCTGACCTCTCACCCTTGACCCCACCCACACAACCTCTTCCCGCCTCCGGGCCTTCGGCCTAGTTAACAGTCCCAGAGTATGTCCTTTGCCCCTTGAAAATTTAAGACCAAAAGGACTTCTGTGACCTATTAGTTCCCGCACTCCTCGGAATCAAGCAGGTATCCCTAGCGGAGTGCATACTCTGTCCCTCCTGCAAAGGCCAGGGAAGGGCGGGAAAAGACCAACAGGCTTGGGAGGACAAGCGTTGCGCATGCCCAACAGGGTTGAGTAGGAGGGAAATGATGGGAGGTCGAAATTGGGAAGGAAAAAGTGATAAGTGCGCATGCGTACTACAGTCACAGCAGGGACGGGACTGCCTGGGTTGGGCGTCGCTAGATGCTGGGGCGGGGCGAAGACGTAAGCGGGGCGGAGTTTGCAGCCGTCGCGCACGCGCCTGGTCTGGTCGCGTCGAGTGTGCGTGCGTGCGTGCGTGTTTGCGTGTGGTCACAGTTCCCGCCATCAGCCGCTCTCGCTGTATAGGGGTAGTGAGCCGCCTAGCTTTTCTGGGCTCAGTGACTCTTCCTTCTGTACCCCTGGCTCCTCCCCCTCCACGCGGATTCTGTGCTTCCGGCAGGCCTGTTCCGGGGCTTCGGACCCTCAGGCTCAGGTAAGGAGCCCAGGGCAGCTTCTCAATTGAGCCGTTTTCTCTACCCCCCCTCCCCCGTGCGGTCCGCCCACTCAGCGTTCACTCTTGTGGAGTTCGCCCCGCCGCTGCTCAGCCGGCCCGCAGCTCCTCTGCACTCTCTGGATTTCACAGGTACCCTATTTGGGTGTTTCCCCTAGATTTTCTCTCTCCTTTGACCTGATCTGTACTGTCACTTGCTCCTTTTGCATCTCGAACCTGGTTCCTTTTCTCTGGGGCTGTCTTCGTCCGCCGCTTGCCCCCTAGCAAGGCCTGCTGTCTGATTAGGTGACTTCGTTGTCTTATATTCATCAGGTCTTGGACATGATACTTATTCTCTGTCTTGACCATTGTTCATCATTCTCTTAATTGTCTCCATTAAAAGGCATGGAGGGTATTTTTGTCGTGCATTTGCTTGCATCCCATATGTAGCCATCACATCAAGCTGTCAGGTTTACCCATTTTAAGTGATGTCCAAGAAAGGAAATGATAATTGATTGCAAAATGCTGTATTTTGGAGTGATGTCCTGTAGCAGTTTTGTGGTATTGCTCTCCAAATTTCAGCTCTGTGTAAATGCCTCTTTATGGGTGGCAGTGCATGACAAGTCTTCAACTAGGAGAGATATCAAAGAGAGAACGTTAAATAGGCATTGTATATCGTGGGTTAGAGATCAGGGGTAGTCGAGGCTGGATATGTAGATATAACCTGTGTATGAATATATATGTGTATGTGTCTGCCATGTAGATAGTTTTGGATGAGGTGCTTAAAGTGATTGTAGTGGTAGAAAAGAAAGGCACTTAAGATGGAGCATTTAGATATTCTTGATGTCTAATAACTGGATAGAGGGGATGAATCTTGCAAGAGATGAAAGAAGTCATGCATAGTGTCTGCTGAAAAGTAAAATTGAAGCTGGACTGAGAAACGCAGTGATGTAAAAGTAATTCATAGTCTTAGGGATGTTTGGGTTTAGTCCTAGTTCTTCTTTTGCTCTTCCATTCTTTCCTCGGTTTTAAATTCCACCTATGTACTGATGTGTTATGAAGTTTTATTTCCAGCCTATTTTGTTTTCTACTTCATATCCAAATAGCCAACTGTCTGCTTGACATCTCAACTTTTTTCTTAGGAATTTTAAATTGTAACATGTCTAAAACCAAAGTGTTGATCATTCTCTTCATACATACCCAGATTCTTTCTCCTCCAGTGTCCCGTTTCATTAAATTGTGTATACATGTCTTCACTAGAAAATGAGTTATTTTTCCTGCCATGCACACATACCCTCTCCAAGTTCTGTCTATTCTACTTCTACTTCTTGAATCTATTTTTGTACATCTCACTATCATTTTTCTAATTCAAGCTACAGTTCTTCCTACCTGGGCTTTATATTTATCTGGCTCCCAGCATTCTCATCTATAAAATAGGAATAATAAGTTTGTACTTTATTTGATTGTTATGATGATTAAATGAAATAACCATGGTGAGCACATGACACACATAAATTGGTAAGAATTAATTGTTCTTGTAATTGTTGTAAGCTGAACAATTTCAGTACTTTCCTATCTGATTGCCCAATTTTTTTTCCTCATTCTTGTTTCTTTCTACTCTCCTTCCTAAACAAACCACATCACTTCTCCACGCAACAATAATATATCATTTCTTTTCTTGAAACCCTTTATTGTATTTTCCTGTTGCTAAATGCTTATTACATTTAGGATAAAATTTCAAAATCCTTCCTGTGATCTGCGTCTGCATAACCTGATTCTTGTTTGCTTCATCTTACACCATCCTTCTTTCTGTCACCTCTAGTAGCCTAGTATACCAAATTATGTTCCAATATAGTGCCTTTGTGTATATTGATCTGTTTACCTGAATTGTTCCAGTGCCACCATCTCCAATCAACTCATTCTTCAATTTTTATCTTCAGTTGTAGTTTCTTAGAGAATAAAAACAGAGAAAAAAAAATCTTGATTTTTTTTTTCTTCCCCCCTTCTGAATCTTCAGGTCTTAAATCATAAGTTTCATCATGCCCTGTATTTTACTTTATATCATTTTTCAGAACTTGTAATTATAGATTTATTTGTATGTTTATTGGAAGCCTCTCTCATTGGCATATGAGAGTGATGATTTTATTTTTATTCCTCAAGAATTTGTTAAATGATTATGTATGTAAGAAATTAAAAAAAAAGAATTTGTTAAATGAATAAGTAAACTAGAACTTGCTATAAGAATCATCACGTCTACTTTCTGATAGGCCTTGGTAGGTTCAGTGATAGATAGACATATGATGGTTTTAAGGATCTGTTTGCTCACACAAATCTCTTGTGTTCAAATGTATGTTATGATCCTCTGTTTTTGTTTCTGATTTTGAATAATCAATAGTATTTAATGTGATTTTGAATAACTAGTAGTATTTAATGTAAATCAGGAAGTTAAAAAAGTTGTGTCTTAGAAGTATTAACCTAATGATATTCTTATCACAAGAAACACCTTTTTCCATTCTGCAGACAAATTAAAGGATGCATCCAAAAAAGGGGCAGGGTTTCAGTTTTGAAAACTTTTTTTTCCAACTCCACCCCCTCACTGGTACTAGCTGGGAATTGAACCCAGGGTTGCTCTATCACTGACCAACATCCTTCCTTTTAAGGTTTATTTTGAAACAGGGTCTCACTAAGTTGCCCATGCTGGCCTCAAACTTATGATCCTCCTGCCTCAACAACCTAAGTAACTGGGTTTATAGGCATGTACAACCATGCCTGACATCCAACTTTGGGTAAATTATGTTCCACTTCAGGGCCTTTGTGTATATTGTTCTGTTTACTTGAATTATTCCAGTACCACGATCCCCAGTCAACTCATTCTTCAATTTTCAGCTTAAGTTGTAGTTTCTTAGAGAACATAAACTTTTTATGAGATTTTTGTGTCTCATAAAATTATTCAGATTTTAAACTGCTCGAATTGAAGATAAACTTTGTCTAGACAAACATCCTTCTTTACTCTCAACTTTAACACTAATTTTATCTCCATTGCACATTTGTTTTATGACCTTTTTATTAGGAAAGAAAGCCCTTGGGTATCAGAATAGTGGTGTATATATTTTAACAACAGGTTAAACTATGAGACCAGTGAAGGTGAGGTTTTTATAAGTAAGAAAAATTCATACTTAGGTCAATTCCTAGTGAATGAGAAATGAAATATTAAAATAATTTTTTAAAATAGAATTTATGTTGAAAAATAGGGAATAAAAAATAGACAATATGCAAATGTCAGGCAGTTGAATTTATTTTCTAAGTAGTGACAAGCTAGGGAAAAAGTTTGAGATGAAATTAGTACCATCAGTCACAAATATTTAGCACTTACTAAATGTTTGTTATTTTGTTAGAATATAAAAGTTTTGTGTCTATGTGTCATTACCCCCACCCCTGCCCGGCCCCTGTACCCACCACCTTAGGGAGACAGTTAAGGAGACTAGTACATACTTTGAAAATTTTTTTTAAAAAAGTATTTTTTTCAGAAAAGAAATTGTAGTATAAAGGATTCGTTGGCAGAAAAATCCTGAGAGAATGGGGACTTGTAAAATGATTTCAATTCACTGATGAGGATGAACTGTGGAAGTGGTTAAAGCCGTGGGTTCTTGTCAGAAACACTTTGTGTCTTATTGATTCTGTATTCATAAATTACTTAATCTCTCTAAGCCAGTTTTCTCATTGGTAAATTAGATAACTTAGTAATGATCCTTGTCCTTTAGTGTTATTGTGAAAATTAAATGAAGTAATGCATGTATGGTACTAAGCACTGTGCTTAGTAAATGTTGCATAATGCATATTTAATGCATTGATGGCAAAATGATGACTTTCTGAATTAGGGTAGTAACTATGAAAAGATTGGGTTTTAATATTAAACCTGATGTTAAGATTTCTTGCCTGTATGATGGTAGAAGGAGAAAAGTATGAACCTTTCAATGAGGCCGTGGACTGCATCTTCTCTCTCTCTCTCTCTCTCTCTCTCTCTCTCACACACACACACACACACATACATGTACATATATATATATATACACATATATATATATATACACACACATATATATATATATATACATATATATATATATATATATATATATTTACACACACACATATATATTCCTACCACTTTGTAGTTTACTCTGAGTACTAAATGATCAGGTTTTTAAAGTTGATGTTGTTGCATTTAATTAGGCAGGGAAGGATGTTTGGGTAGAATTTCAGGGCAAGTTCAGGCTTTAAAAAAAGGTCTAAAATTGAAAAATAGGTGTTTTATTTTTTAAATTTTGGAAACAATTTTACTCACTTTATTTGTATTTAAACACATCATGAAAGTGATGTTTTAAGACTAAGATGTCATTGTAGCAGTGTTTATAAAGACAACAAAGGCTATACTTTTGCTCAGGCTTCTTAGTTTCAAAATGTAGCAGGAATAAATAAATCAGAACACAAGGTGATCAAGGTGCAGGCTCCTCTGTAGTCCCTTATTTACCACAGCAGATACGTTCCTAAAATTGTTGATGTGCATGCCTGTATGTGTTGTGCATCATTTTAAATATTTTCAGTAAG